TCAAAATTAATAACACAATTCAGTGCACTATTTGATTCTACTGACTCCCGAATCCAAACGACAGTCAACAGAGTTGAGAGCGCTCGGTAAAAGCCGCCCAAAGCAGCTTAAAACGAAAAAATCTACTGTCAAAGTTATGGTTTCTATATTTTGGGATGCGCGAAATCATCTCTTCTAGAAATATGAAAGTGGATCATCGACTATACAAAAAATATCAAAACCCCTTTATCAGCTACTCAAATTAGTAATTACTTTAATTAAGTTTCACAATTAGAAACAATCAGCAGGGGCGGATCTACTTAAAGGCTTTTTGGGCTGCAGCCCAGGGCCTCTTGGGTACAGAGGGCCCCCAACCGAACTGGAAACAATAGACAATATTGTCAACAATAAAAATTATCTAGAATTTAAAAAAAAACCGATCACACGGTTGGCAACACTGCGATCAATCCACCCGTGTGCGCATCTATCAAACGGAACTGGGAATTCCCTGTCGCTTGTTTTCGGTCGGTGTATTCCGTGTATTGTCTATTACTGGGGACTTCCCTCCGCTTATCGCTTATCGATATATATTTAAATAATAGAAGCCAAGCCTATGAGATATAGCAAAAAAAATTAAAATTTAATGGATTTGCAAGACAAAAATTAAGAACATTTAGATCTGGAAAGTGGACGTAATATTATTTATTATTATCCAAATGACGTAGACGAACATATAGTGAATGAGTGCATTCAGTTAAAATCTTACTTACTGCAGTCTAAGACAGAGTCTTACACCTCTTGCAGTGAAATTTTTTGGCTAATTTATGAAAAGAAAGTTGTTGATGTTTTCCCAAACCAGGATGTCGTATATAGAAAACAAATACAGGACAATAATGTCGAACTATCGACTAAATCATTTACCAGTTCTTACCATAAATTGTGATTTAACAAAGGACTTACAGTGCGATGACCAAATAAAAAAATTTGCAGCACAAAAATGCTGAAAGGTTGCTTTATAATTTTATATAACATAACCATTTATAACCTGTCAATTTATTTAGCAATAAATAGTGTTTTAATAATTAAATTAAATATTTATTTTCTTCCTGTACTTTTTTGACAAAATGGCAAAACAGTTTTTTGACAAAATGGCAATCGGTTGGGAATGGCAACTAGGTAGGGCCCCTAAGCAGTATTAGCCCAGGGCCCCACAAATTCAAGCTCCGCCCCTGACAATCACTATTCTTCAAACAAACAATTAAGTCTTGAGCGCGTTAATTCACTGTAGTTAATGTATTTATTGTACAGTTACCAATGTGCTTTAGGCTTTATATCACTTTTATGTTACGTTATATAAACATACACAACAATTGTAATATAAAATGAACATAAAACCTAACCTCTTCTCAAAAAACGCTCAATCTGCGCTAGTACGAACTCGTATAAGCTCTAATTTGAGCATAATGTTTAGTAACTAATCTGTCGATTAAAGCAAAAGGTTACATACTCAGCATAAAATCGTCTTACACTTTTTTATGACGAGCGAAAGCATAATGTTAGAGTTGTGTAGCTCCTGAATGAGTGATATAAAAGATATATATATCATTCACGACGATAAAATGTATCACTCACTCACACTAGCTCCGAATATATCAGTAACTCAGTACTAGCTCACTAGATCATTAGATCACTAGCTCAACGACGCCGATCATTGTTTCATGAGCGAGTGAGACTAAAGATAAATGAGTGAGATAGGTGATGGTTGAGTTCACGCAAGTTTCTTTATGCAAAATGTACATTATTTCTATAGGATCAAAGTTTAATATTACTTAAGAATTAAGCCTGCCAAGTATAAGGAAAATCAAATTATGTACGATGTCTATTATACAACCTAAAAAAAGTACAAGAAATAATTTCTTTTTATAAATATTATATAAAAGGGTGTTAATAATTATGTAATCTAATCAAAATGAATTAATTTAATCTAAAATAAAAGGTTAAGAATGTAGTTTCAAAAACTGAATTTAGGTTAATATGAAAATAAAGAAAGGTTTGTATGGCGAGAGAGGCTTAAAGTGGCTTAAAGGCTTAGATGAAGAAATGAATTAATTGAGAGACCAATCAATTGAATCGGATCAATGAGCTAGTGAGCTAAATGAGTTGGTGAGCTAAATGAGTTGGTGAGCTAAATGAGTTGGTGAGCTAAATGAGTTAGTGAGCTAAATGAGCTAGTGAGCTAGATGAGTGATATATATCTTTAGAGCGAAATGATATGTATCAATCTTTTCAGCTCAGTGATACATTTTGCGCATCACTACATAATGTGACGAGGACTCAACAACATAGAGATAATAAAAGAAATAGAGCACTCAATTGAAGCCTCACCATGTCTCTATCTCTCTCTCTATCTCTTTCTTAATTCCCGCACATATGCAGTCACGTTAATCATAATTATGCAGTGAGAGAAAGATAGAGAGGGCCTCTGCTTGCAACGATCTCTCTCGCACCGTGTGACACCACAAAGCATTGAGTTAGGTGGGATTGGCGTGCTCTATTTCTTATATATTCTCTATGCTCAACAATGGCTGACAAGTAGTTGACACATCTGACATCATTGACAAGCTAGATACTGGTGTCACCAATTATTAAACAGGGATTCTACAGATCAATTGCTTCGTGAGAGAGAACCTTATGGTAACCTTAAATCGGTTACATGAAAGTATAAAATATTAGGACATAATGTTGTTATATGAAATCATTATTAAATTAATGGCTAAACTGTATTAAAGTTAAAAATATTGTCAAAAATATGTATTCAGAAAAAATATTTTAATTCTCAGTGGAACGAATCGAACTTTGATAATTGACATCAATTATGTGTGGAGGATCGTTTGGGACACTTTTCTTTGTTCTAGCAATTGTGTTTACTTGCAGTAAAAATCATTTTATTTAATGAAAAGAAATGGGTTTTATGGTTGTTTGCGTATTTGCAATAATAAAAATGAAACCTTTTTATTAGGAAAACTAATAAGAACTGGTGGTTTTTAATATTTATTCCAAAAAAAGTAACTGGTCGCTGAGGTATTCATCAAAATGAGCATTTTTTTTGGCGGTATAACCCTTTCTAGCTTGGTAAGGGAAAAAACATAAATAATGATTATTGCATGGGATGATTAAAACCTTTAAATTTAAAAAATCAGAAAAACTAACAAATGAAGAAAAAAACGACGTTTCACCAGGATGATACTTGTCACAAAACCATGTTAATGATGACGAAACTAAAGCAAAGTCTTTACTTTAGTCACCGTCCCTAAAGGTTATACCGAAACTAAAGAAAAAGACTGTATCGCATTGAAAGAGACTACGTTGATGAGTATAGAACAATTTTATCAAAACCTTTATTTTAGTATTTGATCTCGGGACTTATTAAACCAAGTAATAATTTTAATAATACGGTTTTAAGTACTGTAACTCCAAACGACCACATACAATGGATAAAAATAACAATATATTAGAAAAAACCTAAAATACATATGAATTTCGTTGGATACCATAACTAACGTTTGAGGAATTGGTGCAAATCTTTCATACCACGAGTTCTTTGATTGTTTTTCTCGTTTGTTTTGTGTGTTACTTTCAACATTAAATGGGACGCCACTATATCAGGGGTTGCCATAGACAGGGATAGAAGTAATTTATTTTAAGACTCATTTGGAGTAACGACAACGGAGTCAATTAGGGCAATAAGTAACATAGGACAAATAATTTTTAATTCCCTAACTTTCTGCGTCATTCTCCTGAAGAAGTTTAATATTCATTTTTGACAGATTAATATTTTTATAAATATTTATGTTTTCCTGACATTAAAATCTATCAAAACAATAATGTATAAAAGCGATGGGGCCTTATAGATTTTAATGAAGCAGAAAGAAAAAATCTACTTTATTTCTAACTCATACAGGCAGGCTTTTTAATAATGTATAACTCAAAAAGAGATTATTTATTAGATAGCGATGTTATGGTACTGTTGTTGTGAATTTTAAAACGTAATCGTCTTAAAGACTTTACACTAAAATAAAAGATGTGTGAACTTTTCATTAAAAGATTGGACAAAAAGTTTTAATAATCTAGTGAAAAATGCTTCTAATCACTGCATCATTAATCAAAATTACTTTGGAAATAAAATATCTCACCTAAAAAGTACTGTAAATTACCATAATATCTCAATATTAACTTTAACTAGTGTATAATTAATACTTTTGATTTGAACTTTGTGGTGTCGTGAGGATTTTCTTTAAATCTCCTTTACCCTTTACAAGATTTTTTAAATTTAAAACATACTTATTAAATATAAGTTCATTGAATATTCTACTCTACATCAACAAAATTGTTATCAAAAATTTAAATTTTCGATCTCGTTAATTCTACTAAAATTGTATCAGTTAAGTGATACTACTCTACTCTATTGTACCAGTGGTGCCTGCTATCACTAGATAAAAAAATAACAAGCTACCGGAGAATTGCATGCCATGTTTGCATGCGTGACACATGAGTAGACGTAAACGTTCGAATGACAGTTTAAAGATTTCAAAACTACGTGATAATACTCTTACTGAATAGAAATATTTTTATATTTTTTATAATTATTGCAACGATTTCGTACCGCGGCGTTGATAATAAAATTAAGTGATTATCAAGAATTTTCGACTATATCGGTGACAGTCACGTTTGTTTATTGGTTAACATCCGCCATTTTGTACTGTCGTTTGTTTAGTGACTGGGTGTCTATCTAGTGATGCTATTATCATTAACCAGGAAATATACATTGTGATTTCACAAGTGGTGTACAATGTTTTTACAAGAAACGTTGCTTTCCAAGGGTACAAATTAAAACGTGTTACTTGTCATCTGACGTCGGTATATCTCTACCTATGTGCCGGATGTGTCCTACAATCGGTTAGGGCGATTTTACGTGCCACCTTGAGTGGTGTACGTGTCCCGACACCTATGCTGCCAAGAATATGAGTAGCAACGGAAATCAGGTGCCGTTGGCGCCGAACCAGCGAGGACCCGGACCGTATCCTTTTCTAAATATTGTGTTTATTGAAGTTTGTATCTTTATATTTACGTAATATATGCCACTTCAGCACATAGTTGTACCGCATTTGCGAATTATAATGTACGTATTATTAGCCTTTTAATGCATGCTAAAACTTTATAAGTATGCCTTCCATTACATTTATAAATATTACAGTTTCATTAATTACAAACAAACTTTGTAGTTTCATCATTTGTACCAAGATTTTGAACTTATAACATAATTTGTATTGCTACATGTCTTGTGGGTAGGTAACCATGGTTTATTTCAAATGATAAACCAGAAAGTTGATAAAATAATGAATACACAAAGTCAAGAGTATTGTAAATTTTAGAAACAATCATCCAAGGTATTTTTTTTAAATAATACACAACTTTAGATTATGTATTTCAGGTGGTTTTTATTTTAACCAATAGGAAAACATTCACAGGTGTTCTTGGGGATTTCTTTATATAGTAACTTGTTGAGTGAGTTGTATTCCACTAGTGTTTAACTTGTAGAGCAAAGCGAATGTGATACACTCCTGTTATTGTGCGAAGTCAGTAAAAATATGTCAGTAATAATTAATTAATATGTTTTGTTGTATATGCTTAATCACTTTGCTCTACATTATCTTGAAAACTGTATATATAAACAAAATTTGTACTGTTGATGTGGATGCTTATGATGTTTACAGCATTATTACTGTTCAATTATATCTACTGATAAATTTTATGAGGTATTCACTTATTCAAAATTTGGCTATACTCTTACCAATTGAATTGGACAACAAAGCAATGCATGTTTCTTTTTACCCAGAATAATATATATCTCATTTATTTTTAATCATAATTATTTACATCATTATACATAGTTATTATTCATAAAAGTGTGGAGATAGTCATTTGGTAACTGCTTTTAAAACTGTTTCTGTTATGCCACTAGCATAACCGTTTTATAAGAGTCTGATGAATGTTAATAGATTAATTCTTCTGTTTCTAAGTTTTCTAAAAGGTGTGTCATGTACACAATCTAAATGACAATTTCAGATGGTGCATGGATATTTACCATAAAAATTAAATCTCTAAATTACATATCTAACATAACTCTACAATATTTTCATTTTACATTATTATTGTTACATATGAAGTTATTTATGCATTTATGATATTATTGTTTGTAGTTTAAATGGTTTTATAGAATATAAGAATTGATTTTTCTTTGTATAGGCAAAATAGAGAAAAATCAATCTTGGTAACTATTTTAATATTGTTTTACCTTTTTTGTTCATTGATCTCTCTGCCTTTTTCTCTCACATCTACCAACATAATAACAACCTTGTGCTATTAGTTTACCTTTATTTAGTATAGTTGTACAGTCTAAAGAATATAAATATGCTAGTATATTTTATTTTATCAGGTTAAACTAACTACATTTTTTCCATAGTATATAGAGGCTACCATGTTTAGGTATATATTTAAATTATTTCTTCAAATATATAATTAATGACTGTATAAATTAACACAATTAATTGGAGTGACTAATTGGATTTTTATTAGTCTTCTGTCTTCAATGTGCTGCATATAAATTCATAGGAAAACTAATGCTTTGCAGTCTTTTAGGTCTTACTAAGTGGTCATACCTACATGTATAGACATATGGAATAATAAATGTTAAGTTTGTTTTACAACTTTGGAAAACAGTGCTCACATTTCTTTTATATTATGTTTATAAGTTTTAAAAGCTCCTCAGCTTTATTAAACCTATTTCTCATATTTATAAATCATACTAATACTATTTAGCTATAATTATTATGAAATATATAAGTTTATACACACAATATGGAACTTCACAACTAAATACCATAGCTGCTGCTGCCATGACTTGTATAATTAATTTTATTTGTTTATGAATGGTAGAAAACATTAAAATTTGTTAAATGAATAACTTGGTAATTGCAATAAAATTTAAGACCAAGTATCTGAGCTGAAGACAATATTTAGAATCACTTCAAGATCCTACATTAGTGTTATCCAATCCGTCTATTTAGTTTCTGATTATTGTATTCTGATATTTCTTATTCTACTACTTTTTAAATGAGAAAAATGCATTAGATAATCTTTTAAAATGAAATATTTTAGAATTAATCTTAATTGTGTTGATCTTACACAGTTATTTATTGGTTATCATGGAATTTATGACAAAGTAGTTATTACGGTATCAACAGTGCTAACAGTCACACAATTTAAAGCTACCTTAGTAATTACAAAATGTGTACATAAAGTTTGCTCATGATAACATTATTGATGTTCTGGTGTGTGATCACCCTATCTACTAAATAAGTATGAATTTGCCCCTAGCATTAAGAAATATTTTTAGCCTCTGTGACACAAGTAAGTAAACATTTTCGATTTTCTCCCCTGATAATCTTCATCATACTGCCTCTGTGGCTGCACCGGCTTAAGCAAGCAAATTCTTACTTTTCCATTTTAGTAAATTCAGTAAATTCATTTTCAGGATATGTTAAGATTGGTGTGACTATCTCTTGTTGAAACAAACTGTTGATTCGGCCATATTTGGATATTACAATTGGGACCCCTGCAATGTAAGCGATTAAGAGTTACTAATTATAGAACTGACTCTAGGTTTGATAAATGTCTTACTTGGACCTTATTTGAAACATATCAAAGGTAACAAATATTTTATACAAAAATTATGTGATGCAATGTTGTGTAAATAGTTATTGCTTATTTAACAACAATACATTGATAACTGAAAATTTTATGAGGGTCTAAATTGTCTTATCAAAGAATCTATCTGGAAAATGCACCCGTAAATGCATCTGTAAAAGTATTTTTCATTGTCTGCAATGAGAGATGAGAGATAATCTGTAATGGAAGAATTAAAAACGTTCTTATTTCAAAATGCCAAATTTTAAACCAAAATATTATTAAACAACATTAATTCAATATCTAATTTCGTTCCATAACCTTTGTGACCCATTAGAAATGTTTGTGTCCTTATCATATAAGAGTATGTACTTTATTAGTATTGTGAGTGGTTCTGTTCATTAAAAACTTCCTAATAGAATCACAGCTTCCTAATAGCATCATTAATATTTGCATTATATTTCTGGATTACTAAGAAATATATGAAAAAAACTTTTGTTGATCATCATAAAAAAGAATATTTGCATTTTCTTCCAAATTTTATAATTTGGCTTTTTAGAAATCAAAAAAAATTAAAGTCAAACAATATTGCCAGCTATGAAGCTATAAAAGTAACGTTTAAGCATATTGCTTATTGCCACCAACTATCATTAGTAAGTTTTAAATCTTTAGGGTCATACAATTCTGTAATGCCATACAAAATAACTTATGGAGCCGTAGTCTACAACAAAGCTCACTACCTGCATAGATAAATGGTGCTCGACCGCGACGGACATTACAGTATTTCTTAGTAAGCCTGGCAATAGCTCGATAACTTAAAGTAAGTCAATTTACCTGAATTATCAGTTACTTGTTGACCAGGGTATTATGTATGTACCCTTCAAACACCCATCCCTTTTCTGGGCGGAGTTTACAGGTAGACTATCCTCCTCTCATGTGCTTTGTGTTTTCGCTTCGTTTTTTGACGCTTTAAAAATTAAGATTATTTAAGCTGTGTATACACGGTGATTTTATAGGCGTTTTGGAAACGAAACAGTTTAATTTGGAATCATCTATAGTACCAATAAAAATGGTTAAATCAATTGTAATGTTGACTAAAAAAAAAGTTTGTTTTAATATTCATTTTTACTCGATCGAATTGGAAAGTAGTAATGCAATGATCATTCGTTCATTATCTTATATGAATGAAACACGTCCGTGCGCGTTTCGGCGGCCGCTGCGCACAGCTGACGCTAACAGCAGCTGATAAAAGTATACCTATAGGCGCGAGCTAGCGAGTACTTACGTAGATAGACTCCAGTTTGTCCTTCATACTTTACACGGGCTTAGGACCGTCGGAAATACCTATTTTATTTAAACTTCTTTTCGATTATTAACCACGATTGTTCTTTTCACAACAAATCAATTCATCAACGGACTGTAGGTATTAATATTTCAAGCGTATTTAAAAAATCGGAGGTATCTACAGAATAATTAACTTACATGCCTATTTACAGTTTATTTACACTATTAACACTTCTCTGTATCGAAGCAACTGCTCAAAATGGAGTCCGCTGCGTTCAATACACAAACGTCCACGTTTAATGCAATTGTTTTTTAATTTTCTTAATGTGTCTCTATCACTTTTCACTTTATCAAAAGCGTCCACTATCGCAATGCGTAAATCATCACGGCTTTCATATTCCCGTGTATAAACAAGTCTTTTTATTTCCGACCATAAGAAAAAATCCAGGGGCGTTAAGTCCGGGCTAGGTGGCCAAGGCACAGGCCCTCCTCGACCTATCCACCGATCACTAAACTCATTGTCCAGATATGCACGCACTACACTCGCGTAATGAGCGGGACAGCCGTCGTGTTGGTAGTACATTCCTCTCGAGTAAGCTAACGGCACATCGTCTACTAACTCAGATATTACTGTCCTTAACATCTCTAAGTACGAGTTGCCGGTTAGATGACCTTCAATAAAAATAGGCCCTATTAATTGGTCGTTAATAATACCGGGCCAAACGTTCACACTGAAACGAACCTGGTGATGGTTTTCTCGTATCAAGTGGGGGTTAATTAGAGCCCAGTAATGCTCATTGTGCACATTGTATGTGGGACTCACTCGAGTAAACAGTGACTCGTCCGTCCAGAGTATGTTGGCGTTTCTATTATTTAACAACCACTGGCAAAAGGCGATTCTTGCCGGTGCATCAGTGTTGTTTATTACGTGAGCCTTACGAAAATGATACGGATGTAATCCTTGTGTACGTAATATCTTCCATACGAAGTTTTGGCTAACATCGAATTCTCGTGCTGCCATCCTTGTGCTCCGCCGAGGATCGCGCT